TACCATGTAGCCAGGATGGTCTCGATCTCCTGACCTTGTGACCTCACCCGCCTTGGCCTCCCCAAAGTGCTGGGATTACAGGCGTGAGCCACCGTGCCCAGCCCGAAGTTCTTTGGTTTTATTTTTCAAACAGAGAAACCCCTGGGTTATGGGTACCCTACTCACTTTCCTTACCTGGCAGAATTGCAGGAGAATTACCCGGAACTAGCATACTGATCGGTTTTACATTACCCATCCCTTTCTGTTCTTCTCAAGCTGCAGGAGAGCACCACTTGGTTCACGGGAATAAGCAGGGTTGGTCTTAAAATGCGGCGAAAAGCTGAAAAACAATCATTGAGACTAGGATTTAATGGCAAATAAGTTTTGGACACAATTTCTCTCTCCAGTCCTCATTTTGGTAAAAACAAATTATGATAGGACCATGTTGTTTGTAAAGTAAACTTAGTCTTTTTTTTTTTTTTTTTTGAGACAGAGTCTCGCTCTGCCGCCAGGCTGGAGTGCAGTGGCGTGATCTCAGTTCACTGCAAGCTTCGCCTCCCAGGTTCCCGCCATTCTCCTGCCTCAGCCTCCCGAGTAGGCTGGGACTACAGGCGCCTGCCACCACTCCCGGCTAATTTTTTGTATTTTTTTAGTAGAGACGGGGTTTCACCGTGTTAGCCAGGATGGTCTCGATCTCCTGACCTTGTGATCTGCCCGCCTTGGCCTCCCAAAGTGCTGGGATTACAGGCGTGAGCCACCACGCCTGGCCTAAACTTTAGTCTTATACGTGGCCTGATTATTTGCATGAAGTGCAGCAAAAATAATTATTTCCACATAGGTCTTTTGGACTGTCTTTGATGGACTCTGTTCCACAAGGAATCTCAGATAAGACCACTTTGAGTCAAGCCCAGACATGGGTATGGACCCTCAAACACCTGAGAGTTGGGGAATCCTTTTCTCTTAAGGTCCCACCATAAACTTGGAGCTCCTGGATGCATTAGAAAGTGACATTCTTTACTGACCACAGGTTAGGAACCCTAGACAGGTATGAGGCCAGTTCTCACCATGGGGCTTTTATCAGCTCTGCAAGTCACGACTGAGTCCTTGAAGGGTTTGCAGTCAATACCCTTCCAATCAAAGCCTTGATAAAATAACCAGTTTCTCCAACTGCATCCTGTTAAAAAGAAAAATGA